GCATTACAGGCATCACCACTTTCCTAAAGTTTGTGTTCTGAAAACTTTTGTAAAATTTTGCTTTCATAAAAGGCCAACATTAGTACAGTAATGTTTTTGTTCATAAGAGCAAAATTTCTCTTCTGATTTCTTTCAGTTAGTGGAAATAGTTCCAAGCATAGATATTCTTATATTGCCCTACATGTGACAAGGCTACAGCAAATTTGACTGTCTTCTTAAAGAAGAAGTGAATCATTAACATTATAGATACATTTCTTATCTATAGACATAAATGTATCAGGAGTTGGTGATGGACAGGAAAGCCTGAAGTGCTGCAGTCCATGGGGTCGCAAAGAGTTGGACATGACTGAGTGGCTGAACTGAACTGAAGTGTATCAAAGAAAATTGTGTTTTATTTGAAGAAAGTAGAACTGAGATTTGGAAAACCTGGATTCAAATGTTGTAGCTAAAACTCTTAGATATGTTTTCTTCTTGTAGTTGACATGTGATTGAAGAATGTTTACTCTTCTTTATTCAAAAGACTCCTCAAGTCTTGGTAAGAAGAAAACAATTCCTTTATATTCAATAAAAACTGTAAGTGATAGGATGTTTAAGAAAATAAAACCAAATTAAGAATATTTTTTAAATTTATGGTTTATTTTTTATGCTACAAAAAGAATTAAATATAGGTTGAGAATTGTTCCTTCCTCCTTTAGTGGGTGTTTCTCTTTTTGCTTTTGATAAATTCATAGTGCCAAAAAAATTCAACAGTGACTCTGTCACTCCATAAGTATGCCTTCCCTATATATCTAAGAATTTCTAGGATCTATTTGCTTTACCACAGGTTAAGTAAAAATAAAAGAAGATCTGAAATCAAGCCAGGCCCTAGGGAAAAGCCAATTTCATCCAAGCAACATTTGTCTGAAGAATTTAGTACAGTAGAAATACATACTCTATAATCATCTCACTAGGGATTCATAGTTATTTCTATTGCACATCCTAAATCTATGCACATGAATTTAATTTATTAATTAATATTTTTAATTATTCAAAATCCTGTTGCACATACAATTTAACATAGTTGCATTCAGTAAATTTACAGCTTCAGTAGATGTATAAAAAACTGTGACATAGGTGTGCAATAAAACAAGATCTGTCAAGCAAAGAAAATCATTATTTTCAAAGTTTTAAAAATAGAGATTTGATGTGAAAAATAGAAAGAAATACTCTGCTGGATGAGATAAAGTACTATGCATATATATCCAAACACATATAAAATCTGTTAGTATAAATAGTTATTAATATTACAAGTTTATTCATTCAACAAACATTTATTGGATATGACTATGTATAGTAATGTATAAGTGTTCACATAGAGTCATAAAAAGTGTGCCTGTTAAATGTCTTTGTAACCCCTTCCTGACATTTCATTACCAAACAGCAACAAGGCATCCATCCTGGATACAAATCACCCTCCCACTCCATTGTATTTCTGCTACAAGCATTCCCCTGCCTTCTTCTCCTATTTTTCCATAGCATCCATCATCAATCATTCTTGGTTAAAGGATATTGCATTACTAATAGGATGAGGAAAGTTGAGACATAAATTTTCCAAAGAAAAGAGAAAACATAAACATAATAATAATAATAATAATAAATATTCCTTTTTCCAAGATGAAAATTCTATACATATGCAAAAACAAAGTACAGCATCTTCATTGCATTTCCTTATTCTGAGATGGAGTTTCTCAGCAGATCATAAAAAGCATAGTGAATAGAAAGTTAGAATTAGACATAATTAATAAAAGTTATTCAGACACAGCTGTGAAAAAATACAAATTATTTTGTTTTCTTTTTAACTCCAAAATACTCTTTCTAGAAATAACCTAAAGGGAAATATTTTTAAAGCAGAAAAATTAAATTGTCAAATATGTTCAACACAGTTATTAAGAGCTGTGGAAAATTTAGAAACCACACAGAAGGCTCAATATTGGGGAAGTGAGTAACTAAAATATATTGCATATTTTTTAATAATGTGTTGTTTTAACAGAGGTGTTAAATATCAGTAAGAAAAAGTCTGAAATATTTTTACTTCTAAATTGATAGCACTATAGTAGAAACTATTTTTCTTGATGCTTGACATGCTTAAAAGAGATTTAAATCTTAGACTTTGGGGGTGAGAGGTGACTTTATGATTTGTAAAATCCATTTAAACCTGATATTCTATGACTGTATGATTTCCTGGCAGGACGGGGCGGGGTGGGGGTGGGGTGAGTCTCATCCATGAACTTGTCTGACATAGGTCTACAGCCAGGGCCCCAGGCAGCTGTTAATGCACCAAGAAAGAAGTCAATTTCAATATTAAAAGTGTCAACTAATTCAGATACAGTAAGTGTTTTTTTGAGATATAAACAGTACCTGTGGAGAAGACCTTTCTCTTGAGCCTTAAAAGTGCTAACACATATCCTGCTTGGCAGCAAAGTCCATGAAGTTACTTACCTGTGGCTAATTAAACCCAAGGGATATTTCAGCATCATTACCAGGTCTTGCCAACAAACCAATTATCTCAAGTAAGGTAACTGAACATCAGAGAAGAACTTTTACAGTGTATGTCATTGTGAACTTCATCCTGATGTATACATGAGAAAAAACATGATGAGAGGAGGAAAAAAAAAATAAAACAGTTGACTATACATGAACTTAGATATTTGATAGTAAATGAGCTTAAATATGCAGTCTGAATATTTAACATTACATCTATAAACAGTTGGGTAAATATTTTTTAAATTTTTCATTATGATATTTTACTTTTTAATTGATCTACCATTCATGTCCATGAAAACAGTTTTTCAAAAAGGAGTTTCTTGGATCTATACCAGGAAATTCTGTTCCCAGAATACAAATCCAAGGGCAGAACAGTTTAAAATCCTGAAAAGACAGCAACACAGATTCTCAAACTTGAAAGGTAAAGCAGAATGAAAGCAGTAGGGATTATGTATGGATCATATCACTGTTGATCAGAAACTAGTTGAGGTGTGCTTTGACCTTTGACAGACTCAGGGACTGATTTCACAAAAACCAGGTACCTGCCAAAGTGTTCTCTTGGCAGCTTTGTGCACTTGAATAGGTGCAAGAATGTGTTCTCAAAATAACAAAGCACTCAAGGGCAGAGCTTATATGTCTCATTGTTGTTCAGTCAATAAGTCATGTTACACTCTTTGCGACCCCCATGAACCGCAGCACACCAGACTTCCCAATCCTTCAATATCTCCCAGAGGTTGCTCTAACTCATGTCCATTGCTTCAGTGATATCATCCAACCATCTCATCCTGTCACCCAGAGGCAACATGTCTTAATCCAATCCTAAAACACTTTTATACCAGGAGGGTATTTCTTGTTATCTATCAGAAATAGAAAAGTTTAGGGGAATGAGATAATTTTACTTCTAATAGAAGCATAAGCAAATATAACAATATTTATAACAAATTATTGGCATGGGAAGAATCACAGAACTTTGAAATAGCTTCCAAATCATCTAAGTAAATTACTTTTAGAAATGTAAAGGTTATGGAATAAAATGATGGCATAGTGAGAATTAAAACCCACATCTCCTGATCCTGAAGCTAGTGTCCTAGTTTTCTTTCTGATTAAAAGATCTAAAGCACTTTTTAAAATTTCTCCCACTGAGAAATAAAGGAAACTTTATTCAATGTGTGTCAGGTATGTGGAGGCATTAATATTGCTAAGTACACAAGATGAATCCAATTAGAATTGAGAAAAAGATGAAGGCATATTTTAGGACTTAGTATCTATGCTGTAAGTTGAGTTCTAACAGGAAACATGTGATTCTAGAGCCTTAAATATGATGTTTATAATATAGTATCTGATCCCCAAGACTGATATAGAGCAATTGTGAAGAGAAAGACAACTTTTAATTACTCATTTAAGTCAAGAACATAGAGCTTACAGAGAATCAGATCAGCATTCATTATATAAAGCAAAATAATCTGTTTCCAAAATGTTAAACATTCATTGTGCTAAAAAAAAAAAAAGTACCCAGACATTTTAATTTAATGCAGGCTGACTCCAGGGCCTTATGTGATATGAATGACTTATATATGTATTTCAATTATTGGAGGAAGCCAAGTGATCCAGATACAGAGACTGGGGTTGAATAATTTAATTTTTCAGTTCAAAATTTGATCAGAATATACAAAATCAACCATGTGGCACAATCATAGTATGTGTTAAGAAATTTCATTTTTCACAGATTTGAAAATGCAGCAATGATCATGTCTGTGAAATTTTAAATTAATTTTTTTATCAGATTCCACTATAGAAAACACAGTATGATTACATCTATAAGAGATTGAAGCTATGCAATTCTCTTGGTGTTTAAGATCTATAAACTATTCCACTAGGATAAGGATTAGTTCATATAGCTGTTTCAGGAATAAGTAGTTTAAGTAACTCAAGGAAAATTATATTTTAGTTGTAATCACTGATATGGAAAATATTATTTGATTCTCTAACAACAAAAAAAGAATATCATGTCCTACACAACCCCTTCCAACTAAGGTCACATTTTTACTCCAAAGTTTCCTAATGGCATTTTTCATTTCTGCATTTCTCAGGGTGTAGATTAAGGGGTTCAACATGGGAGTTATGAAAGTTAAAACCACACTCATGGATTTATCAGTGGGTAGGGTTGAATTAGGCCTGGCATACAGGAAGATTCAGGGAAAAAAGAATAAAATGGCCACTGTTATATGGGATGCACAGCTGTAGAAGGCTTTGTGATTCCCTTCCGAACCATGAGTCTTCAGGGAGTGTAATATGACCCCATAGGACACTAAGAGGATGAAGAAGACAACAGTGCAGACTGCCCCTCCATTAGCTATCATAGAGAGTCCAATGAGGTGGGTATCAGTGCAAGCAAGTTTCAGTAAAGGGTACATGTCACACAGGAAGTTGTCAATGACATTGGGGCCACAGAAAGGGAGCTGATAAATAAAAAGAACTTGAACTAGTGAGTGCAGAAAGCCTCCAGTCCAGGCCACCAGCAGCATGAGGACACATGCCCTCCGATTCATGATGATCAAATAATGAAGAGGCTTGCAGATGGCTACATATCGGTCATAGGCCATCACCACCAGAAGAATGACTTCAGCACCAGCAGTTAAATGATCTATAAAGACTTGAGTCATACAAGACTGGAAGCAAATAGTCTTTTTCTCATGAAGCAAGTCAGTGATCATTTTGGGAGCAATGGTGGTGGAATAGACAGCATCTATAAATGATAAATAAGCCAGGAAAAAATACATGGGGGAAGTAAGTGACCTGCTGGCTGCAATGGTCACCATGATAAGCAGATTGCCCAATATTGTTGCAATGTAGATGAGTAAGAATAGGACAAATAGAACTTTTTGCATCTCAGGATTTTGTGTGAGCTCCAGGAGGACAAACTCCATCACACTGTTCCTATTTTCCATGTGTTCTTCAAAGCTGTGGATTGAGTGTCAGAGGCTGCAAACAAATGGCCAGCAATGACTTTCAGAGGATTGCAAGCTTTGTGTCAAATACATGATGCCTTACTCACCAGTGTTGGCTCCATGAGATCTCACATAGAAATTCTAGAATATAAGAATTGGACTCTTTTCCTACAAGTACTTCATTCATTTTATCAAATTCCTTACTTCAAATATAGTGGTGAGACTTCAGTATTCTAACTGGGAAGTATATATGAGTGGGTGTGAGTTGACCTACCAAATGACAAGAAAGTTGCTTTCTCCAGAATACCTCTCACAAAGACTGAATTTTTTAAATTTATATATCATTTCTTTCATTTCCTTTTTTTTTTTTTTTGAGAGCAATTTTGGCATTCTGAGATATACCATGAAAACAATCACATCCCTAATAGCTTTATTTACATATTTGCATAAGGTAATACCTAGGCATGGGGCATAAAATTGTAAACTGATGCTTAAATAGCACCCTGAGTTGCTATGAGCTCCAAAATCAGTCAGTTGCCCTCTGCAGTGAAAGAACCAGGCACATCATAAGTGCTCAATAAATACTTATAAGATTCCACTTAATTACAATGAATTTCAAAACACATAAGAAAGCAACTGAGATCAGATAAGTGTATAAACTTCTTCCCGTCCAAGAAATCCCATGTCTCCTGTTTCTCTTGAATTGGCAAGTGGATATTTTACCCCTGATCCACCTAGGAAGCTCCCTCCGCCCTGCCCCGGCCCTGCCAAAGACACTCTAAATAGACATTTATTATAGTCTAGGTTATTGGAGGAAAACAATACATACAAATCTATGTTAATGAGCACTGCATAGACCTGTTTCTTGATTTACAAAACTGTTTAGATTTGATTATTGCTAGCCATAGCTCAATTCAGAATGCCGAATTAAAAATTTTAGGCAGAATCTTGGTATATTAGAAAGAATTCCATGCCAAAAATCTAGAACTATTATTTGATTTTGCTCAGGCATCTTAGGAAAACTCATATTTTTCTTGGAAAGATGATAATATTTCCAGATGCTGTGAGTTTCTGAATTTTTGTCATTGAAGCCTTTATCCTAAATGACATGCTAACACTTTTGCTGGTAGATCATCTTTATATTAACCAGAGTTAATTAGTGTGTATTAAAGGTTATTTAACTATTACAGTAATCAATAAATTAAACTCATTATTTGGTCCATATTATAAGTTCTTGGTTTATTGAGTCTATGTGGAAAACCGGACAATCCTTCTCACTTGAGGAAAATAAATCCATGGCCAGTTTTACATGTAATATATGTAACTTCATTTTGGCAAAATTATTTTAAATGTGCTCCATCTCAGTGTCTAATTTACAGACTGTCATTTGTGAAAGGTGGAAGATTGTTCTCTTCTTTGTGCATTTGGTAATTCAATTTATGCTCAGATATCAGAGGGAAAATAAAGTGTGGAAGAGAGAAAATAAGAGATGACTGAGAAAAGGTAGATACAAAACAGCAAAGACTAGAAACTAAATAAAGTATGCTTTGAAATCAGTCAACAGTTTGGGTTGGGGGTACTGAATGAAAAGGGAGTGGAGGATTTCCTAAGCTGTCAAGATAGAGATGGATTGGAGGGTAACTCAGAATCAGCATCAGGATTTGCACCTCAGAATCTTTATACTTCTAGATCAAATAAACAAAATGTATATTTAAAAACTCCAACTAATAAAAATAAATGGAAAAAAAAAAAGAAAAGAAAATTCTGAATATATGTGAATTGAAGAAATCAGTTGCCGCCAAGAGTTCCATCTTCAACGTTCTGGCTGTTCATTGTATACATACATAGTTAAATATCTCCACTCACAAGGACATAGCCACATGGAAAAATAAATACTCGCGGTTCTTAGAAGTTGTCCTGCGTTCAAGAGGTAACTTCCGGTAAGAGAGTCTAACCCTTTGATCTGCTGAGCATTTAAAACATTTATGTGTTTATAGCTGGTTTTATGCTGTCATCTCTTGAGTTTGCTGGAACAATAAACATGTCTTAATAACTTTCTCTGGAATCTGAGTGTGCCTCATATATTTTAAGTGATCAAGAAATAGTTCACTATTAAAATATTCTTATGAACACATTTATTCCTCTAAATGGTTTAAACCATTAATCTGACAAGACATGATACAAAATCCTATACTTTATCAATATTATATTTTATTAAAATAAATATATCTGCTTCAAATACTTGGGATATTCTTCAAATTTCTTAATATAATCAATTGGAACAAATAAATCTTTAAATAATTCTCAGAACATGTAAATCCATGATAACTATCCTACAATGATAAATGAAATAAGATAAACTAAGTAGGTCTACACAGTGACAAATTCAACAACATAAGGAGGAAAACAAAACATCTACATGATAATGCAAAGTGTAACATACTGAGAAACATTTTCATTCAGCAATATATTGGAAATTACAGGCTGAAATTTCAGTTCAGTAAATATCCTTTTGAAACTTGTGATCGCAATTCATGCCTAAAAGTGTTTCTATTTAACTGTCTATATAGTAAAAGCTGGGCTTCCCTTGTAGCTCAGTCGGTAAAGAATTTGCCTGCAGTGCAAGAGGCCTGGGTTCCATCCTGGGTCGGGAAGATCCCCTGGAGAAGGGAATGGCAACCCACTCCAGTATTCTTGCCTGGGAAGTCCCGTGGACAGAGGAGCCTGGCGGGCTGCCATCAATGGGGTCGCAAAGAGTTGGGCGCAACTGAGAGACTAACACGGTCTCTGTCGCTGTCACAGTAAAACCTGCTTCCCATGTGAGCTACAGTGACCATTAAAATGATGCAGCAAAAATTTTGAGGTTCTAAAAACGCCTCACCAGTTCATTAGGTTAAAAAGAGATAAATTTTAAAGAAATATCACATTTTCCAAATCAGTTTCTTTATAATAAAAAGAAACCCTGAATATGGTTGAACAGACTTTGGAAACAAATACACACATACACAAAACTATCAGAGATGTCATGTTGCCTAACATATATAGTTTTATAACTTTTGTTTTGTTTTATAAATATAAAATCTGTTTTATAAATATTGTGACCCTAAATGCCTGCAATGTACGTTTTAAGAGTGCAGGTTCTAAACTCTGGTTTGGAATTTGAGCCTCAAAATCTGCATTTACAAACTTTGTGACCTGAGTAAATCGTTCAACATAATCTCTGTAATGAAACATAAAAGAATCTAACACACTAGGATTTAAATACAATAATGCAAATGAAGATCTTCAAAATTGTAAACAATTGTCTAGCAAATAATAGGTATGAAATAAGTTCAAAATATGTTTTATTATTCTTCTGTTTCCCCATTTAACTTTGGTACCACATCTCTATCATAATTAGTTTTACTTGAGTTTTCTCAAAATCTACTCTTTCATATAACTATCCAAAGATGCTTTCCTGAGGGATGGAGAGATTTACTGGGTCATTATCATATGCAGCTTTGGAAGATGTCCAGTTTTGCTACTCACATGATTGTGTGGAAATTCCCTTTTATGCCTTTCTTCATAACTCACTCTCCTTTTTGAAATGTATCAATAAATTTAAATTTAATCTGAGGGATCTTCTTTCCATAAATTATGAGGTCAACTGACTGCATAATGCCTTGTGTCTCATTTCATTCACAATATTCATAAGACCCTAAAAATGAGAAAATATCTGGTTCATTAACCCCCTGAAGATATAGATGCTAACATTTTCTCTAAGACTTTAATAGACCTTGTATATAACATAATTTATGAATTGTATTTCCACAGAGGCTAAAATTCACTTTCCAGTTAGGTATAAGCACAAATTGATGAGTCTAACAAGTAACTAAAGATCTCTGAATGTAAGTTTTTACATTTCAAGTTTTGAGTTCCCTTTTGTAATAAGAAGCTATTGATTTACATATCAAAATGTTATTTAGGGTTTATACACAAAAGAATAGGAAGCAGAGACTTTAATATTTATATACCAGTGTTCATAGAAGCATTTTTCACAATAGTCAAAAGGTGGAGACAACTCTAATGACCATCAGTTAGTGAATATGTAAACAATTTATGGTATATACAGACAATGGAATCATACAGCCTTAAATGGGAAGGAAATTCTGATACATACTATCAGATGAATCTTGAAGAAATTAACAGGAACAGATGAATAACTTAAAGTAACAGATGAATTTGAAGAAATTATGCTAAGTGCAATAAGCCAGACGCAAAAACACTTACATTTTATGATCTCCCTTTTATAAGGTACTTAGAATAGTCAAATTCAATGAGATGGAAAGTACAACAGTTCAACAGGGACTGGAGGGATGAGGAGACAAGAAGTCACTTTTTAATGCATAGAGTTTTAGTTTGAGATGGTGAAAAAATTCTGTTGGAGAGTGTTCTTGTATATTTTACCACAACTAAAAACAAATTATGAAAAGGAGTTAAATATCTACACAGAACAAGAACATTAAAAATACCATGTACAAGCTAGCAATTTGTGAAGAACTATCATAATATTCAGGTTTCCCTCAGAGCTCAGAACCTGCAATACAGGAGACCCTGGTTCGATTCCTGGGTTGTGAAGATCTGTTGGAGAAGGAATAGGCTACCTACACCAGTGTTCTTGGGCTTCCTTTGTGGCTCAGCTGGTAAAGAATCTGCCTACAATGTGGGAGACCTGGGTTCAACCCCTTGGTTGGAAAGATCCCCTGAAGATGAGAAAGGCTATCATAATCTTTACTATCATTATCTTCAATATATGAAGATGCAAAATAAATAATTGATTTTCTAAATTATATGAAACATTGTAAAAAAATTTTTGTGCAGACCATATGCATGACCTGTTACATTTTGTTATGTTACATTTAGACTCTATTTCAATTTGAATTTTAACAATCTTAATACAAAATATTGGCGAACACTATTGTCATTGGACTTATTCCAATAGTATTTTGTAAAATGGAGCA